GAGGAGCTGTGCGGCGAGTCGTTGTCCTGCTCCGTCAGCTTCGAGGCGCTGGTGCACAACCCGCTCAACGTCTTCCATGTCGATGTGGCCATCCAAGACGTGAACGACAATGCGCCGCGTTTTCTGCGAGACAAATTTCAGCTGGAGATCAATGAGTTGACTTCTCCCGGCTCCCGATTTGCCGTGGGCGTGGCCGAGGACTCGGACGTGGGCAGCAATTCCCTGCAGGGCTACGAGCTGGAAAGTAATAAGTACTTCAGAGTGGAGGTGAGGGAGAGCCAGGACGGCAACAAGTTCGCAGAGCTGGTGCTGCACCGTGCACTGGACCGGGAGAGCGAGCACAGTCTGCGTCTGATGCTGACTGCGCTGGATGGCGGTGACCCGCCCCGGAGCGGCACCGCCCAGCTCTGGATCAACGTCACCGACGCGAACGACAACGCGCCTGTGTTCAGCCAGGCGGAGTACACGGTGCGTGTGCCGGAGGACGTGCCCGTGGGCTCCACTGTAGTCACCGTCACAGCCACCGATGCCGACGAGGGTCTGAACGGGCACGTGAGATATTCGTTGAAGAAAGAGACGGACGTGGCTATTTTTCATCTGGACTCTGAGAACGGAGCAATCAGTCTGTTGAGGAGCCTGGATTTCGAGGAAGGTGACAACTATGAACTGGAGGTGCAGGCAAGGGACGGAGGAGGGCTTTTCGACACGACAAAAGTCGCGATCACCGTGACAGACATAAACGATAATGTGCCCGAGATTTCGGTCAGATCGGCGCTAAATGAGATCTCTGAGGATGCCCCGACGGGGACGGTGGTGGCCCTGCTGCACGTGCACGACCGCGATTCTGCGGCAAATGGCGAAGTGCGCTGCTCGCTGGACGGGGGCGTCCCGTTCCGGTTGGAGAGCTCGCAGGGCAGCTACTACCGCGTGGTGACATCGAGAGAGCTGGACCGGGAGCAGGAGTCGGAGTACAACGTGACGGTGCGGGCGGCCGACGGCGGTCGTCCGTCGCTGCAGAGCAGCAGGGTGCTG